GGGAGTCCCGCACCAATCTTCACGGTTCAACTCTCGTCGTCCCCGAGTGTTACGATCTCGAAGTCACCGTCTGGGATGGGGCGTGCTGGGTGGGTGGGCTGCCCGTTGGACTGGTCGGCTTCGCTGGCCTCTTCTGCGCTGTCATGTTCTCTAGCGAAGCGGCTGTCGAGGTCCACGGATTCGACGAGCTCTTTTGGTTCACTCTTCGGCGTCACAGTGGAGGTTGCCTTCTTAGTTGCTGGAGCGATGGTGCTCAGGCCTTTCAGCGCGGCCTCGAAGCACCTCCGGGCCGCCTCGATGTCCCTGTTCAGGGTCACCACGGCCCCGCATCTCGTGTAGTATTTCATTTTTAAGTGGACGGTGGAGGGCACCGCGGTGAGTTTTGCCATCTTCATCCTGCCCAGGATACAGTTGTAGAGGGACGAGCACTCGATGACTAAGAAGCGAATATTGATCTCCTTGGCGGTTTCCTCTTCCCCGAACGTGACTTTCAGCTCCACGTATCCCCATGGTCTTGTCGTCGTCTCGTTGAGCCCTTGGAGGTCCGAGCCCATGTAGGGGGATAAGTTAGATTCGTCGAGTTGGAGGGTCGTGAAGAGGTGGGTGTACATGATGTCCACCGAGCTGCCTCCGTCGACGAGGATGCGTCTAACATCGAAGTTCGCCATATGCGCCCGTATCAGCAGGGGAATGTTGAAGTTGGGGGAGCCCCCGGGGAGTTCGTCGAGGTAGAAGGTGATCGGATTGGATCGGCCGCGAAATTTTTCGAGTGTGCTCATCTTACCGGAGTTGCTCGTGATAAGTTCTTCAAACTTTCTTTTCACCGATCCTACAGATAGGTTCCTCGTGGAGCCTCCGGAGATGACCAAGGCTCTTGGAAAGTATTCCCATCGACTGGTGGGTCGTACCGGCTCGTCGGGCAGGTCAGGACCGTCGGGGAGGCCGAACTCTCTATCAGCGAACCAATCCTTGGGGTGGTTGACGCATAGGGCGACCTGGAGTCCGTTATCGCCGTCCGAAGAGGGGAGCTCTTCGACTTTCTTGGCCTCGGGAGCTTCTTACCTCGGGGTTTCTCCCCCCCGGGTGTATCTCTTTAGGTGACCATCCTTAATCAGGATTTCGATCGCGTCCTTGAGATGGATGCAGTCTTCCGTCACGTGCCCGTGGCTCCTATAAAAACGACAGTACTTCGATTTGTCTACATTGGGCTTGGGGGGTGTCGGCCTGGGGAAGCGGACACCTCCCTGGACAAATTCGGCCAGTATGCGCTCGCGGGAAGCGACTAGGGTCGTGTACTCCGTGAATCAGCCGGCGGGGCCGCGTTGCTCACGTTGTTCGCGGGGGTGATCCTCCCGTCGGTAATCACCTCCGAGCCGGTGGCTTAAAGCTTCATCGTATCGGTGCCCGTGGGAGGCCTCTCTGTCTCGGGTGTCTCAGGCGGAGTTGGCTGCTTGGGTTTCCTCGAACCGGATATAATGCGCGGCTCTGTCGAGGAAATCTTGTAGGGAGGATGGGCGGTGTATGCCCACGGCCTCGTAGAACTTGGAGTCGCGGCGCAGACCCTGCTCCATTAGGTAACGCTTCATCTCGTTTGACGCCGTCACCTGCACTACCTCCCGTGTGAATCTTTCGATGTACTTTCGGAGAGGCTCGTCAGGAGCTTGGATTATCACGCCGAGTGCGGCTTCCGTCTTCGGATGGCGTCGGGATGTTGTGAAGTGTTTTGAAAACAGGTCCTTCAGAACCCTCCATGACGTAATCGATTCGGGCTCCAGACTTTTGTACCATGTAATGGCACCTTTCCTCAGGGTTGTCGGGAATAACCTGCATTTGATAGCTCCTTGTACATTTCGCTAGTCGAGCATGGCCTCAATGTCTTCCAGGTGATCGTCTGGGTCGGAGGTGCCGTCGTATGTCGAGAGCGTCGGGGGCTTCTCCATCCCATGGGGTATGAGGGCGGCCATGATTTCCCGAGACAAAGAAGTCATGTAGTCGTCTTTGTCGTTGAGAGCGGGAGATCGAGGGGGAGATGGGCCATTTGGTAGAGGCACCTGGTTTCGGCCCCTCGGTCTCCTGACCAGGGGTTCGACGCGGGAAGGCCTGGTCGTTGGTTCTGCCCTGTTTTGCCGTCTCTCGCGAACTTGTCTCGTCGGGGATCTTGTCCGCTCCCGCACTACTTTTGTTCGGGGCCTCTCCAGCCGAGGTCGTCGATTTCTGGGTTGAGGCGAGGGGCTCATCGAGTTTCCATTCTGGTCTTCCCGCGGAGGGGACCTTGGCGGGGCCTCGCGTTCTAACGCGCTGATCCGCACGTTTTGTTGAAACAACAACTGGTTGGTCTGGTTGATGGCCACGAAGAGGGCGGCCACCGTCGGGTCCGCTCCGACCGGTACGGGAACTGGTTGGAACGCCGCTGGGCTCCGGGGTCGCTGGTCAGCCTGGTGAGCATCTTCCGCGGACGAAGGAGAGGCGGTCCGGTCGTCCCTTTCGTCGGTCTCCGGTGGGCGGGACGTCTCCGTTTGCTTACCGCCGTTCGCGGTAGGGTTGAGGATGAAGTCGGGAATGACATTGTCGCGGTGTGTGCTAGCCATGATCGTGGAGTGTTGGTGAAACTTTGGTTCGCTTGCTCGGAAGAATGGGGAAGTTTTAGGTTCCCACAGACGGCGCCACTGATCTGACCTGATCAGAAGGGGATCACGGGCTGGCCACGCGCTGTTGGACTGTTGCCTGTTCACCGGTGATGAGGAGGAGAAGGGGGATGTACCTGCAAGACACTCAGATGCCAAAGTAAGGAATTGAGCAGAGTGAGAGCAAATACAGAAATGGGGTAAAAAGTGAATTACCTGACCCTCTTGTGGAAGAGGGTATTTATAGAGAGACCCCAGCGCTGGGCCAACGGTCACTTGCGTTGGGCTGGATTGTCAGGCCTAACCCAGGTGACTGCTATGGCTTACGTGGTGTAGTGAAGACCAGGACGTGGTCTTCGCCCTAGTCCAACTATCCTGTGATCTCCGGAAAGTGGGTTTGACCTGTTCTTTCGGAGGTGGGCAGTTGGCTGGTGACGTGTCCCCGCGGAGGGGAGCACGTGGAGAACGTGGGAAGGGCACGTTGATCTCCTCGCGGAGGGGAGCTCGTGAGGTTCCCCGAAGGCGTGTTGTTCTCCCCGCGGAGGGGAGCACACGAGGGCGTGAGAGAGACACGGTGTCCTGCTCGACGGCATGGAGATTCTGCCTGCGAAGGGCTATTCTGCCCGACGAGGGACAACGATTAGCAACGCCTTCCCGTGAAGGGGAGAGGGTAGAGGATGTCCTGGGGCACGCTGTTCTCCTCGGCAGGAGCATGCTTTGCCCATCGAGGGGTCACGTGCTCGGCCTTCCCACTTAAACCATATTAGGCCTTTATTGTGTATCATTGGGCTGAGTCGCGAGGTGAGGCCGGAGCCCAGGCCAGAACATGAACCAAGTGAACCGAATCAAACCACATTAGTTTGGTTTGATTTAGTTTGGTTTTATTTCTAAAAGTCAACTAAACCAAACCAAATCACACATTTTTTTCTTCTTATGATTCATATAACTTTTAGTGTCAAAACAATCCAAATTGCACCGCAAACACCTTATTTTTACCAGTTTAGTTGGTGGATGTGCTTACAAACAAATTCAAACCTTCAATATTATATTCATTTTAGGTGAAATTTTCGTTATTAATATATTAAAGCAAGATAAAAAAAAAAAAACCAAACTCCACTAATACGTTCTAGATCGGAGTTGAACTTTAGTTGAATCGGTTATATAAATATATATTTTTTTTATTTTTATAAGAATAATAAAGTATAAAAATAAATTAAAAATTTATTGATAATTTTATAATAATTAACACTTAATAGTTTATTTGATTTTTTACCGTCTTTTTTATATTTACCATTTTATATTTAATCATTTGAAAATATTTAAAAGTATTTGAAATATTTTGAACCTTTTTTTTATGTTCAAAAAATACAATTTATAAAATGATTAATTTTAAATTGTACATAAATTACGCATAATTTTAAAACTAAAAGTAATGAGTTATAGATTAGATAGGTCAAGATTTTCATTTTAATATAATAATAAGAAGAAGAAAATTAATAATCTAATGTGTTTTTTATATTATTATATAAATTTCATTTTTTATTGATTAAAGAATAAGAAAGAAATTGAGAATGGTTTTTAATTTAGTTTTTTCTATTTGGTTTACCTACTTCATACAAGAGTGATTAAGGGAAGAAAAAAAAATTAAATCAAAAATAAAATAAGTTGACATTAAAAGTTGTCAAAATCCTCTATTTTCTAAAAAAAAAGTTATCTGTTTTGAGCAATTTTTCAATTTAAATCATAGTTCTTCTGCATGCTAGTTTTTAAGTCGAAACATATCGATTAGGATACCGGCTCCGTTCCAATTGATTGAATCGGCCCGTCGGATTCAATTTTGATTACAATAGATATAATATACTTCTATATAACTTTTATTATTTATATTTTAAGCTGAAAATATATTAGACAAAAAGAAAGTATTTGCAAATTCATTGACTGACCTAGTCTTAAATAAATTAAGAAATATAATTTCCTATATAATGTATACACGCACTATAAATTAATTTTTTTAAATAATTAATATTGTACAATTTAAAATATGCGTAATTTAAAATATACTATAAATTAATTTCCTAGAGAATTAGAGAATCACAAACAGGATATGCCTTAGGTGATGCGGTAATTGTGATTTAGAGAAGCTACAAAAGATAGCTTTTGAAAAAAGGTAAAAATTCACGGTGCTTTTGCCAATTGCACTGTGTAGATGTTGAATATTTATATAATAGTTGGTGCAGATATACAAGTGAAAATTTCACATATTTTCACAATTTCACCGTTCACTACAAACATTGGTAAATTCAATACAATTCTTGTATGAAAAATGTAGTAATTATTTCTGGTAACAAATTCAGTAACACATGACAATGAAAGTTGTCATTTAAACTTTGGTTTGAAACAAACACATAAAACTGAATCATTCTGTTTTGTATTGGTAGTGGCAATTATCTTAGGAGAAGGTGTCTTCATCATCATCATTTGCTCATTTACTTCCTTACCTTCACAGATAATTCTAACCTTACAGCTTTCTGGTGCATTCTGTACTACCTCATTCGCCACACCATTTCCTTTCCTTGATCTCGACTTTCTGCTCATATATAAAAATTTATCAAACACAGACACAAAAACTTCAATACGATGAATAAATTGAATATAATCACATGTGTCAGAGATATGAAACGAGCTTTTGTTATACCTTAAAAGGAACTTGTTGGCTCCAATGACTAAATTTGATATCTGAAGAATGGGAATTAGGTCAAGGATGGCTTTTGCAACCAAATCACTCTCAATCAAGATGGTATCAACCTTAACTTTGGAAAGAGAGCAAGATTGGATGAACTTGTGAAGGAGTTGTCTCCTCTTGTTTCTTTCTTGCTCCATATAAACCTCTACCTGCTCAGCACTAACTTGATTCCTTGCAATCATTCCTACTCCCACTGCATATATCATACATAATCTTTAACAATTAGATCCATTTGATATAGTAAAAATAACAAGAAAGAACATAGATGATTACATGGATGTGGAATGTGTTTGATTTCAGGGAACACATGAATGAGATAGAGCATGGTGGAATGAGTGGTTAGGTTATTGAGTGTCCATGAGAGAGCTTCCATGCTTGTATCACTCTTACCAACTGCAACATAAATAGAGTCTTGTTCTTGTTCTTCAATTTCGGTATCGGTTGTGTCAAGGTGGCGGCGGTGGTGGTTGATGGCGTCTTCTTCCTCTTCTATCTCGCTTATGCCGGCGGCGGAGGAGTTGTTGTTGAACATTGTTTGGGATGAACGGTGGAGTATTCTCAAAACCGTCCTAAAAATAAATTATGTAAATTGAAGCAAAATTTAAAGTGTGATATATATAAATCAATATAGACATATATAAAAATTGTATTATAGTAATGTTATATCTTATTTACCAAATTGTAATGTGATGCCTTATGAACCATTATTTTATGTTTAAAACAAAATATAGAAAGAGAAGATTTTTTCCAAAAATAAAATATATGAATTTGCAGCAAACTCTTAAATGTGACATGATTTAGAAAATAAAGTATAAAGAATAAATTCTCGAAATTTGTCCCTCTGAGTCGTTTCTAAGATGAGAATTAAACAAAAATAGAATAAAAATTAGTGGAAATATTTTATTTCCAATAATAAATTATAGGAAATTATAGTGAAGTTAGAAATTAATATCACTTTTAACTATAAATTAATTGTAACTTAATGGTTTGAGACCTATCATTTTCTTTCAAAAGAAAAAGCAAATAAACAAATGCATTTTTGTTTCTAAAAATAAAATATAAAGTTGCAGCAACCTTTTTTTTTTCAAAAATAATTTTCATCTTTTTTAATATAGTAGAATTTTTTTTCAAACTATTTTTATAAATTAAAACACACATCTCGAAGTATGAGTATTTAGTTTTTAATATTAAAATATAGTTAAAATCACTTAATTTTTTGAAAATATATATTTAAAAAATATTTTTTATAAAAATTTGTTCAATATAACTTCGAATTCCAATGACTTATTAAACTTTTGATATTTTAAAAAAGTCATACAAAAAGATAAAAATATTTTTTCTAACTTAAAATGGTATCTTAGGAGTGTTGGTGCAAAGATAGAATAAATGATGAAAATAGGGAAATATTCTATTAAAGAGAATGACGGCAGAAGAAACAGGATTAAGAGTTACAATGATTGTCACCCTATTTATAGGCTAAAACTAGGGTTACTAGAATAAGTTAAAATACTGAAATGCCCTCTAACAAACTTATGGGCTTAAGAAAATAATATAATAAAATATGAATTATTACTAATACCATCCCTTAATTCATATTCCATCAAAACTTGTAACACCAATTCCATCCCTTAATCTGAGAAATTGATCAGTCTTGATAGCTTTCGTCAGAACATCTGCCAACTGCTTCTGAGTGCTGCAGTGTACAACTTCTAACACTCCACTCTGAACTTGATGTCTCAGAAAATGATACTTGGTCTCAATATGCTTGCTTCTCCCATGCAGCACTGGGTTTCTGGCAAGGTTGATTGCAAACTTGTTGGCAATCATCAACTTCAGAGGTTTGTCTACCTTAATCTTCAGATCCTGCAACAGATTCAGAATCCACACAGCTTGGCATGCAGTAACAGCACCTGCAATGTATTCAGCTTCACAGGTTGACAACGCCACAACAGGTTGCTTCTTGGAACACCAAGAAATGGGACCTCCCAGAAATTTGAACAAGTACCCAGATGTACTTCTTCTGTCAACTCTGTCTCCACACCAATCCGAGTCTGAATAACTCAGAAGTTCTGACTCATTATTTCCTCCAGAGGGAAATAACACTCCATACTTCAGAGTTCCTTTGATATACCTCAGAATCCTGACATCAGCTTGGTAATGGGACCACTTAGGTTTACTCATGAACCTACTAACCATCCCAACTGAGTAGCAAATATCAGGTCTGGTATTGCACAGATACCTCAGAGAACCAACCAACTGTTTGAAGGTTGTAGCATCCACATCCTTTCCTTCAGAGTCTGAATCCAGTTTCTGATTTGTATCAGAAGGTGTGACAGCCATCTTACAATTCTTCAGATCAAATCTCTTCAGAAGTTCTAATTCATACTTGAGCTGATGCAAAATGATACCTTTCTCAGAATATCTGAACTTCATCCCTAGAAAGTATGTCATTTTGCCTAGATCAGTCATTTCAAATTCATTCATTAGAACCTTCTTGAACTTGGCTATCTCCTGCTCAGAACTTCCAGTCAATAGTATATCATCAACATATAAACATACCAGAGTCATATTGCCTTCAGAAGTATGCTGAACATAGACACCGTACTCCATCTCACATTTCTGAAAGCCTTGCTTCTTGAAAAATGAATCAATCTTCTGATTCCAAGCTCTGGGCGCTTGTTTCAATCCATATAGAGCTTTGTATAATCTGTACACCATCCCTTCCTGATTCTTTTTCACAAATCCAGGAGGTTGTGACACGTAAACTTCTTCTTCTAATGGACCATTCAGAAATGCAGATTTTACATCTAAATGCATCAGAGGCCAATTCCTGTTAGCAGCTATTGCAATCACCATTCTGATTGTTTCATGTCTTGCTACAGGTGCAAACACTTCAGAATAATCCAGCCCAGGTTTCTGTAGAAATCCTCTGGCTACCAACCTTGCTTTATGTTTGCCAATTGAGCCATCTGGCTTTAACTTCTGCTTGAAAACCCATCTGACGCTGATGGCTTTCTTGTCTTTTGGAAGTTCTGTCAGCTTCCAAGTTTTGTTTCTCTCTATAGCATCAAGTTCTTCTTTCATGGCCTTCAGCCAGAGCTTCTGCTTAAGAGCCTCCTCTGTACTTATAGGTTCAGAGTCTACTAACATGGCACACTGAATAACTTCTCCTTCAGAGTCTACTTCAGTGTCTTGCAGCATGTCAAATTCTGCAAATCTTCTGGGAACGCTTCTGATTCTTTGTGGTCTCTGAACTTGTTCAGAGTCTTGAGCTTCAGAGTTTCTAGCTTCAGATGATTGACCTCCAGAGCTTTGACCATCTTCAGAGTCTGGCATATTTTCAGAGTCTGAATTGCCACCAAGATCTGGATTGCCATCAGAGTCTGAATCATCAGAGTCTGGGTCATCTGGGTCACCTTCATCTTCTGAGTCTTCTTCAGAGTTTGAATCAGTATCAGAGTCAGAGTCAATATCAGGGTTTACTTCAACTTCAGAAATTCTTAACTCTGGCCTTTCTTCAGAGGTTCTAACATCAGAATCAGATTGAGACTTATCCCAATTCCAAACTTCTGATTCCTTCACAATCACATCTCTGCTGAATTCAATTTTATTGGTTTCTGGACAATAGAGCTTGTATGCACCTGTACTGTGGTACCCTATCAGAATCATCACTTTGCTTCTATCATACAGCTTCTGTCTTCTGGCTTCTGGAACATGTTTATAGCAAACAGAACCAAATACCTTCAGATGACTAACACTTTGCTTGTCTCCAGTCCACTTCTGCATAGGAACTATTTCCTTCAACTTCTTCGTAGGACATCTGTTGAGTACATACGTTGCAGTGGCAACAGCTTCTCCCCAGAGCTTCTGAGGAAGCTTCTTCTCCTTTAGCATGCTTCTCACCATATCAAGCAGAGTGCGGTTTCTTCTTTCAGCAAGACCATTGTGTTGAGGGGTATAAGGAGCAGTAACCTCATGCTCAATTCCATTCTCCTCACAGAACTTCTGGAACTCTTTGGAGTTATACTCACCTCCACCATCAGTTCTAAGAATCTTCAACTTCTGACCACTCTGATTCTCAGCCTTCATTCTGAACTTCTTGAATTCATCAAACACCTCGTGTTTGAACTTAATAAGGGATACCCATGTCATTCTTATGAATTCATCAACAAACAACACAAAGTATTTATTCCCTCCAATTGATGCTACTGGAAATGGACCACACACATCAGAGTGTACAACTCCCAAGGCATGTTTTGCTCTTGGAGCAACTTCTGATGCAAATGGCAATCTTGGTTGTTTTCCTTCCATGCAAACTTTGCATGACTTTTCAGGCTTCTTAATTGTAGGAATTCCATGTACCAATTTCTTTGAATTCAGATGTTGTAAGCTTCTGAAATTCAAATGACCAAATCTTCTGTGCCACAGCTCACTCTCCTTCTCAGTACTTGTTGCACTAAGACACTCTGAGTCTGCAGTTCTGACATTCACCTTGAATGTTCTATTCCTTCCCTGTTCTGACTCCATAATCAACTTCTGATTACAGTCATACAGCTTCAGAAGATTGTCCTTCATGGTAACTGAGAAACCTTTCTCAATTAATTGTCCCACACTCATCAGATTGCTTCTGATGCCAGGTACATACCACACATTCTGAATCAATGCTATTTTTCCATTGTTCAGAGTCACTCTGACATTTCCCATACCTTCTGCATTAAGATATTTGTCATCAGCACATCTGATCTTTGTTCTCTTTTCAGAGTCAAAGTCAACCAGCCATTTCTTGTTTCCAGTAAGATGATTTGAACAGCCAGTGTCCATATACCACCAGTCTGTCAGATCATCAGATTCAGAGGCCATCAATAGCACAGATTCGTCATCAGAGCTTTTGGCTATATTTGCTTCTTCTGATTTCTTCTCCTTGTTTGACCAACAATCTCTAGCAAAGTGACCAAACTTCTTACAACAGTAACATTGGATCTTCTTCTTGTCATACTTCTCTTTTCCCTTCTGAGCATTCTTTTGTCTATCAGAGGTTGAGGTTTCTGACTTCTGACCACCATCAGATCTTCTCTTGGCTTCTGACTGCTTCTGATACCTCCTATCAGAAATTGCTTTCAGAGCCTGCTGCTCTACTTCCCTTTCAGAAGTTCTCTCAGTCAAACGCAACTCTTGCGCTTCTAAACTGCTCTGCAGCTCTTCAATTCTTATTGTGCTCAGATCTTTGGAATGTTCTATTGCTACCACAATGTAATCAAATTGAGGAGTAAGGGATCTCAATACTTTCTCCATGATTGTTTCTTCAGAAAGAGTTTCTCCACATGCCTTCATCTCATTAGTGATCAGAATCACTCTGGAGATGTATTCAGAAACTTTCTCATTATTCTTCATGTTGAGATTCTCATATTGCTTTCTCAAGGACTGAAGCTTCACCTTCTTCACTGATGCGTCACCACCATAACATCTCACCAGAGTGTCCCATGAAGCCTTTGCTGTTGTAGAGTCTGCAATCTTCTCAAACACGTTTACATC